CAGTCTCAGCTTTCCAACACAAGGGGAACACACCAAGGGTGGCTCAGAATATCCGTCGAGAGCACCCTAATCGCGTCTTAATCTAGTCGAGGATGCGCAAGACTCGTGATCCGTAGGACCATTTCGTTCGAAGGGGCAGCAGTCAGGACCACGCCTCCTCCATCTGCAAGGACTAAGCCCAGTTTTGATCCCTCGTAAAACTAAGTCTCGAAATAATTCAATAACAACATTAGTAAGTAAGCAACGCCTCCTGTTACTCCTGCTTTCTTCATACGTGCCTTTGTGCACGTGCGTTTCCCTCCGTCGACCCAGCGACTCGTGACCGACTCGTCATTTCCCATCCCACTCCGAATTACCCGACTCCCTCGCAGACTTCCACGTCCCTCGAGATTGATTCGATGCTAATACCGACCGACTAATTGCACGCTGCCAAGAATCAAACTGGAACAGGGCGTGACAATGCGTGACGAGTCGACGACAACGAGTCGCTCGATTCCAAAGATCCAAGAAGGGTGAAGATTCTTCATCTCTCTGTTTGTAAGTTTGTAAGTTTGTAAGTCTTGGTCCGGTTATTAGCCACGTCGATTTCACTCTTTCTCGCGAAACAGTTTACTGGACGCTTACCAAGTTAAGCGTGCGAGCCGGGAGAAGACGAAAATTCTTATCGGTTGACGTTTAAAGTTTCCAAGTTCCTCGGCGAAGCTCAGAGAGAGAGAGAGCTTTCCAGAGAGCTTAACGAGCTTCTCAACTATTCATTCTTAAATCTTTTGAACGAGACGATAAGCAATGCACCGTGTAAAATAAAACGAGTTTCTGACCGTGGATGGAATGAAAATATTTTTCATTTCTCGCGGATAGTATATATCGCGGTCGATATATCTTTTTCTGTGGATACGCAGAGTTATAGTTATATGAAATATGAATCTGACGAAATGGAGCAATTGCATATCGCCTCGATCCACCGACGACACGTAAGTAAACTGTCAGCGGAGTACAATAAATCTAAGAAATGTCGGTAACCTGAATTTCCACCATAATATCCGAGGTTGGATGCAAAGGAAATAGAATAAGTAGATGCATTTTATCGTGTCACGAGGCTTGCATGAAAATTCGCCAAATTACATGCACAGCTATATTTTCCGCAGCTAAAATCCTGTTCTAAAACATACCGATACATTACACGGTTTCGTGCACCGTGTTCATAACCATAGAGTTATCTTGTACCTCTGTACTCGCGAATCTAGGAATTCGGTATTCCGTTTTTCGTCTCGTCTGGAGTTTCGACGGGATTCTAATTGAAAGGGTAAGGGAGGAGGAGAAGGAGGCAATAGAGTCGCCACGAATCCTCGCAAAAGGGAATCGTCTTCGTGCATTAATCTTTCCTCGTCGCCGGCGGAAACGAAACGAGCTAACAAGAAATTGCGCAATCGTCGTACATCTTCAACGGCGCAACTTTTGATCCGTGCTGGTTTTTGTCTCATAAATAGCCCAGTTAGACTGGTAACACGCAGCCAAACACATGGCCAGACAAGACCACCAGAAAGCCCCGTCCTGGGCGGCATACACTTGGGAGCATCTGGTTTCGCAGTGACGATAGCCTCGTTAGTCACACCACTCTCGTCCTCTTGTAATTTTATTAACCGTCTCATGTAAGATGGCTCGTTCAGACACCGTCACTTTCTAATTTTTATTCGAATGTTTCAGCGTTTCGCTATGCCAATGGATCAGACCCTGAGTTTCACTCGTTGCTCATATTCGGATCGGTGGAATACGAAGATATTGCATTGGGTATTATCATCTTTCAGGTAAGTAATTAAATTTTATCTATGACTTATATCTTATATATTTTATATAATGTTTTAGATAAAATTTTTAGAAAATATTTTAAATAAAAGTTGAATTAATATGAAAATTGAAATAATTTTTAAGTAGGAATGTATATTTTTCGATACATTGATAGATGCATATTACTTTCTACTTCATAATAAAATATTAGATTGATTATAGCAAAAAATTATTGGCTTAGGAGATATTTAAGAATATTTAATTCATTTCCTAAACTAATAATCTTTTGACATCTATAAAGAATATCAACATGCATCTAATAATGTATTAAAAAATATATTACTTAAGAAAACGAAGGTAATCTTCAAATGCTTCTTATGTGTATACCTACAAAAAAATTAATAGCAATAGAATGTACTCTAATAGAAATCATTCAACTTTTATTAAAAAATATTTTTTAATATCATGAAAGATAGCGAGATATTGCATTGTCAATATAATCAATACCAGATATTCGATGTAACTTTATTATTTGAAATATATCACTTGCTTTTAGAAATATTAAAAAAAGTTTCAGAAAAAAGTTAAATAGTTTTGAGAGGGGCGTAATATAATGTTATTGTTTTTCTGTTTGAATAACACGTAAAATTCATATAAAGATTAACTTTATTTTTTAAATAGAATCATTACTTTTTAACAAACGATGATAAATGAAGCACATTATTCTCTATAAAAAAAAGTACAATCTATAGCCAAAAATAATTAGTTTAAAAGATAATTAATTAATTTAATATAATTATCTTTTAAACTAATTTCTGGATGATTAATGCTTTCCTATTATAACATAATAAATCATACAAAATTATATGATTCTATTTAAAAAATAAGTTGTCATTTATAAGATTTTTATGAGTCTATCTACGAAAAATCAATAATATCAGAATATAGTCCTTCAAAAAATTAATCAACTTTTATCTAAAACATTTTTTATTATTATAAAAAACAAGTAAAATATTTCAAATGATAAAGTTAGATAAAATAAAAAAACAATTCATATTCTCTATAATATATCCAGTGAATCCTACTTTTCCATCCCATACATTCCATCCTATATACATCCTATAAAACCTATCTCCTTCAAACCCTATATCCTCAACCCTTTAGATATAAGTAAACTGAAAAAAAAGATTAATAGCCAAAAACATGCAGAATAAAAAGGTAAGTACATAAAAGGTAAGTAAACAGGTAAGGAATATAAAAAACTTAAATTACAGAAAACTACTTAAATATAAAATATTAAATAATTATAAATATTGATTTTTCATTAGGAAAACATGATATGCAAAGAGGTGGCACTAGAGTTTCTTGACAGAAATAATTCTTAGAAAAATTTTAGCCAAAATTTCGACTTTTCATTAGGAGAATATGATATGCAAAGAGGTGGCACTATAGATTCTTTGCAGAAATAATTCTTAGAAAAATTTTGGCTAAAATTTCGACTTTTCATTAGGAGAATATGATATGCAAAGAGGTGGCACTAAAAATTTTTAACAGAGATCAATTTCTTAAAGTTTCTCGCCCAAAATTCCGACTTTTCATTAGGAGAATATGATAGGCAAAGAGGTGGCACTAAAAATTTTTAACAGACGCCGAATTCTTAAAGTTTCTCGCCCAAATTTCCGACTTTTGAACAGGAGAATATGATAGGCAAAGAGGTGGCACTAAAAATTTTTAACAGAGATCAATTTCTTAAAGTTTCTCGCCCAAAATTCCGACTTTTCATTAGGAGAATATGATAGGCAAAGAGGTCGCACTAAAAATTTTTAACAGGGACCAATTTCTTAAAGCTTCTTGCCCAAAATTCCGACTTTTCCTTAGGAGAATATGACATGCAAAGAGGTGGCACTACAGATTCTTGGCTGAAATAATTCTTAGAAAAATTTTCGCCAAAATTTCGACTTTTCCTTAGGAGAATATGACATGCAAAGAGGTGGCACTACAGATTCTTGGCTGAAATAATTCTTAGAAAAATTTTCGCCAAAATTTCGACTTTTCCTTAGGAGAATATGACATGCAAAGAGGTGGCACTACAGATTCTTGGCTGAAATAATTCTTAGAAAAATTTTCGCCAAAATTTCGACTTTTCCTTAGGAGAATATGACATGCAAAGAGGTGGCACTACAGATTCTTGGCTGAAATAATTCTTAGAAAAATTTTCGCCAAAATTTCGACTTTTCCTTAGGAGAATATGACATGCAAAGAGGTGGCACTACAGATTCTTGGCTGAAATAATTCTTAGAAAAATTTTCGCCAAAATTTCGACTTTTCCTTAGGAGAATATGACATGCAAAGAGGTGGCACTACAGATTCTTGGCTGAAATAATTCTTAGAAAAATTTTCGCCAAAATTTCGACTTTTCCTTAGGAGAATATGACATGCAAAGAGGTGGCACTACAGATTCTTGGCTGAAATAATTCTTAGAAAAATTTTCGCCAAAATTTCGACTTTTCCTTAGGAGAATATGACATGCAAAGAGGTGGCACTACAGATTCTTGGCTGAAATAATTCTTAGAAAAATTTTCGCCAAAATTTCGACTTTTCCTTAGGAGAATATGACATGCAAAGAGGTGGCACTACAGATTCTTGGCTGAAATAATTCTTAGAAAAATTTTCGCCAAAATTTCGACTTTTCCTTAGGAGAATATGACATGCAAAGAGGTGGCACTACAGATTCTTGGCTGAAATAATTCTTAGAAAAATTTTCGCCAAAATTTCGACTTTTCCTTAGGAGAATATGACATGCAAAGAGGTGGCACTACAGATTCTTGGCTGAAATAATTCTTAGAAAAATTTTCGCCAAAATTTCGACTTTTCCTTAGGAGAATATGACATGCAAAGAGGTGGCACTACAGATTCTTGGCTGAAATAATTCTTAGAAAAATTTTCGCCAAAATTTCGACTTTTCCTTAGGAGAATATGACATGCAAAGAGGTGGCACTACAGATTCTTGGCTGAAATAATTCTTAGAAAAATTTTCGCCAAAATTTCGACTTTTCCTTAGGAGAATATGACATGCAAAGAGGTGGCACTACAGATTCTTGGCTGAAATAATTCTTAGAAAAATTTTCGCCAAAATTTCGACTTTTCCTTAGGAGAATATGACATGCAAAGAGGTGGCACTACAGATTCTTGGCTGAAATAATTCTTAGAAAAATTTTCGCCAAAATTTCGACTTTTCCTTAGGAGAATATGACATGCAAAGAGGTGGCACTACAGATTCTTGGCTGAAATAATTCTTAGAAAAATTTTCGCCAAAATTTCGACTTTTCCTTAGGAGAATATGATAGGCAAAGAGGTGGCACTAAAAATTTTTAACAGAGACCGAATTCTTAAAGTTTCTTGTCCAAAATTTCGACTTTTCATTAGGAGAATATGATATGTAAAGAGGTGGCACTAAAAATTTTTAACAAAGGCTGAATTCTTAAAGTTTCTCGCTCAAATTTCCGACTTTGAACAGGAGAATATGATAGGCAAAGAGGTGGCACTAAAAATTTTTAACAGAGGCTGAATTCTTAAAGTGTCTCGTCCACATTTCCGACTTTTGAACAGGAGAATATGATAGGCAAAGAGGTGGCACTATAGATTCTTTGCAGAAATAATTCTTAGAAAAATTTTCGTCAAAATTTCGACTTTTCATTAGGAGAATATGATAGGCAAAGAGGTGGCATTATAGATTCTTTGCAGAAATAATTCTTAGAAAAATTTTCGTCAAAATTTCGACTTTTCATTAGGAGAATATGATATGCAAAGAGGTGGCACTATAAATTCTTGGCAGAAACAATTTTTAAAAAGTTTTTGGCTAAAATTTAGACTTTTCATTAGGAGAATATGATAGGCAAAGAGGTGGCATTATAGATTCTTTGCAGAAATAA